GAAGCATTTCGCGAGGTGAAAGGGAAGGGTGACCAACCGCAACCCTAGACACCCACCCCCGACTATACTGAGGCTTTCGAAGGCTGGGAATCACTTACAAGCTCATGCTTCTCTTTCTCCCATGGAAAATATACACACTTGAATAGTTTCTTGTCGGAAAAATGATCATTTGTCACGGAGTTCCAGATAGAGGGTAACAGAAAATGTAGTCTTCAACGAACTTGCGTTTATTTTTAGTTTTGTAGGAATGTGAGATGTACCAGGGTTTCGTCAAACCTCCGCTTGAAAGATGTGAGGGTGTCCGAAGTACTGTATACTCCGATTGCAAAAGGTTGGCGCCAGCATTCCAGTCGGCACTCTGAAATCAGTACCTTCAAACAGTGTCCCTCGAGGGCGTACCTTGTTCGACAACGTGAGCATAAGCCGACATGGCTGGTTTGGGTTCTGCAGTATTTGATACGTCAAAATCAAGTCTCCTCGAATTTGGCGGGTGGTGGTGGCGCAGTGGTTTAGTCGCTGTCACCGGCGTGCTTTAGACCCCATGGTCCGAGGTTGGAGCCCCGNGCCACCCGACTTTGGTGGTAGGCAGCTCTGCTGTCGTCCGGTTCAATACCACACCCAACCTATCGGGGCCTTATGTGGTTTACCACTCCAAGTCCCGGGGCTTAGGTTACCGGTTTCCATCATCAAACAACAAGTCCTCGTGATTATGGGGTTCCACCCCGTCTGCTGTTCATCACACGAAAGTGTGTAATAAAAAAAACAACAGCAGAATATAGTCCCAATGATCGTAGTCTCTCTCCATAGGTAAGGTAATGCAATCCCTTGACCATCTTGCTGACAATCCTTTGTGGACGCTCCAAAATCTTACGATCACGTTGCAACCATGGTCTCCAAGCTTGGGTGGCGTACTCTGTGTACTGTCGAATGTACACTGATAGTAAAAGTGGGAAGAGTGCTGATTCAAACTAACCAAAGATTCACCTCGTAAGATGATCACTAATTCAATGCCATAAACAGATCAGAAAGTACAGGATTTTATCTTACCGACCTGTTCTAGGTAAGTAAAAATGGTAGCAAACATGCTGTCGGCAGTAATACTGGTTGAATTGGGATTGTCCATTCACCTTCATTGCCACCGCTAATCGCATCCAGTTGACAGCCTATTTGAAAATGCTACATGCTATTCTTGAATGACAGCCTCAGAACCGCACACACGTGCTTTTCTAGCGTTATAACAACTTCATAATCTTAGCGTGTGCTGTCATGTCTTTCATCGGTTGTCCTGTATTTTGGTTATGTGGGCGTGCGCGGGTTGTCGTCGCCGTTGATCCATCAGGCGATCTGTTTATGTGGTGAACTTGACAGTCATAGTTGATATCAAAGATTAATTTTAAAGACAGTTGTACTATGCCGATAGAAACTCGATACTTATCCAATGTGTAGGGGATTAAAATACCCATTTAGGTGTATGACCGTTGGGCGGATGCAGTTGTTATTTTTATTCTATTCTGGTCTCACGTGGCATCGCAACCAGACTGCATCTTGACGTGATGCGATGACTTGTGCACCTCTCTGACCGAACGAGGTACACGGGATGGTTTCTACCAAGCCGAAGATCTAATCATACCTCGAAGATCGAAGACTAGAAGTCGGACGAAGTCCAGTCTCTTTGTCCTCCAGGTTGGGGGTTCGACTAGAATTTGCGTTTCAGTCGTCAAGAAATGTAGGAGTAACTGATCCAAGTAAATGAGCCTCCACTTCGCTTCATCCGCTGCCCTGTGACCAGGTTCTTTTCAGAAGTAAAGGCTTCGGTTGGGAACCCTAATCGTTCTCCTGCTTAGCGGCTGAACACCTTAGCAGTATCCGTCCATCAAACTCCAATGCATATTCATTGGGAATTTGGCAGCGATCAGTGAAGTTTGATTCGTTGTATTTAACTGTACGGTGATGATGACGATGTACAGTCAGAGAATGTCCTAACTATAGTTCAGAAACACACTGATCGGCCCTTTCTTCAGGTATACTCTCAGTGCCTTCAATGAACTCTGTACAATAGAAATAGGATGAACAACTGCTATCATATATATANTATATATATATATATATATATATATATATATATATATATATATATATATTACAATAAGTAGTGTATGAATTACTCGGTGAAGTTTCCCTGGAGACACACGAAGAGGTTTCGCGGTTCCTGTCGGGCGTCTGCAGGTCGTGGATATATGTTCGTCCACCAATCTGGCGGTGTGAATTAGGTGGGCACACGCTCACTAAGCAAGCAGTTTCAGACGATCAGTGACAGCACTTGAGAAAGCAGTGGAGTTTTGTTTGACTAACGTGCATTAGGTCACCAGCTCGTCTGACATAATCCCAGACTTGGAGGTGAAAACGGCCGGATGATGTACCGGTAACCAACTATCTCTGGTTAACCGAGTAGTAAAACATCTCCAAGTAGTGCCGGGGTTACCTCCGTATTTTATTTCCACGAAACGGGATAATATCCATGCGACAAAACAAAGTCGAATGAAAGCAAAGCCAAGTACAGAGTGAATGTTGTGACATTTTTCCATAGGGCATTTGGCTGATAAAGCGTGAGCCGGATAAACCCACGATTACCATGTTGTATGCTTTTATATTTCAAATTATATTTCACACTTATTTAAATATTGACTGTTAGCCAATCAATTCACGTTCCAAAGGTCTAAATAAAAATAAATGCGTTCATTATGGCGGTGGCGCAGTGTTTTAGTCGCTGTCACTGGCATGGTTTGGATCCTGTGGTCTGAAGTTCGAGCCCCGCCACCCAACTTTGGTGTTGAACAACTTTGCTGTCACCCGGCTCTATACCACGCCTGGCCTAGCGCGGCCTTATGTGGTTCTCCACTCCCAGTCCTGAGGATTAGGTTGCCGGTCACCATCACTGAGCAACAGGTTTTTATGATTACGGGGTCCACCCCGTCTGTTGTTCATCACCCGCTGCCGTGTAATTAAAAAATCTACGAATGCTATTGGCACTCCCGATTCACACTTACCACTCGTCGATTTCCAAATCACTGCAACAATTGGAATTTGTTGACTGAAGTAAAAACTGCAGACAAATAAAAAGAGCGTTTTTTTACTGGTCATCTTTGAATTCCGACAACTATTGTTTCTCCCGACGTATTCACTTTAAATAATCACTTACGATTCTCGCTTCTCTTCTCACGGGTTCTCTCCCCCCCCCCAATTCGGGTCTTAATGTTATGGTCATCGTTATCGAAATATCAAACCGGTCGACTGAATATGTTCGGTCCTCTTTTCCCAACACATTTCTGCTCTCCTCACGCCGTGATGTTTTTTGTTCCCTGTCCAGATAAAAAGCCGTACGAGTGCAAGTTATGCATGAAGGGTTTCGTTCGCCGGTGGGACTTTTATCGACACGTGAATTCCGTCCATCAAGGTGAGTTGGAGGGACTAGGGGCGATTCTCTGTGTTGTCAACTGTTAGTTGCTACCACTGTTGCTATTGAAATTGAAAACCCGATGCTCAACCTCATCGGCTGAACGATTCACCTTGGAAGCACCGGGGTGTGCAGTCATTTTCCAATGAGCATTTTTCATACGCCAATTGTGTACTATTTGCTCTCTTAGATTTGGTGGTGACGGCGGGCTGTCCGACCCGTGGTGGTAGCATCAAACGTGGTTCTGATTGCGTAGTTGTGTGGCTATGATTTTCTATTCTTAGTCCTGCCTGCGGATAGAGCACAGATGGGCATGCTCAGCCAGTCAGTCTTACTTCAAATCAGTCATTTAGACAGACTTGGGTTCTAAGTTGAATAGAACATGGATCATTGATTCGAATTTTGCGTATATATGCTTCATGTACCCTCGCATTTTATTCATCTCTTCACAGATAATGCTACCAGTGCGATTGACGCTGACAAGACGGAAGAGTATCTGGCTTGGATGCGTGGTAGGCAATCATGTTTGGATATCAGCTGGGAATGTTTAAACGCAGTTCGACCCGATTTGCTCCGTGTGAAAGTCGAAGATCAACCAAACAACCCATCGTCAGCTCTTCAACAGCCGCAATCACAGCCCGGACCGCAGCAACAAACGCAACCACAAACATCTCAACAACAGGCGCAAGCGCAGGCGCAACAACAACAACAGCAGCAGCAACAACAACCCACTGCAGCTCAAGCACAGTCACATCAACCGGATCCTGACCCGTTCCAAACACAAAATGATTTGGCCAATATCGTTCCCTCAGACATCAACAATCTTTAACCCTCCCCATCCCCATAGGCAGCCCAATAGGAAGACAATTTCCAGTCACTATTGTAAATAGCTGTGTATAAATTCAATCATTGTCCTTACACTTTTTATGCGACTGTCAACACATCAGTCCATATTTGTCTGTCTGTCTGTCTGTGCGCGCGCGTATGCGCGTTCATGTGTGTGTGTGTGTGTGTATTTTTACACGTGCTTATGCACGTGTGTTTGTTCGCGCGCGTGCGCGCCAAAATCCGTGTGTGCGTCGCCCCTTCTAATCTTTTTTCTTTTCCCCTGTTTCATATTACGATGCCTGTCTGGGGGCATTGTTGTCTTTCTGTGATGCCTCACTTGGATTCGCGTTTCGTGTCTATCCTCCCGCCCGCCCATCCTCTATCTCTCTCTGTTCAAATGTGTACTCCATCACCACCCACCTCAACACACACATCTGGTTTCCCTGTGTTCGGGCACTGTTATAACTTGTACTAACGTGTCATTCTTGTCCGTGTTTTTTCTCTTTCCCTCTGCTTCTCCTTGCACTGATTTCTGTGCATAGAAGTTTACATTTATACACATCTGCATATATGTATATTTATACGTAAGTATGTACACGTACACACACACACACACACACAACGCAATCAAGCAAAATCAAGTGGTCATTTGAACCAGCCGAGAAAACTATGCGCGCGTTTCTTCATTCTCACCCGCCCTGTCCTTTTTCTTTTTTGATAAACTCTCGCTCTCCAACTTCAAGATTTTCAACCTCAGGCGTTGTAGATGTCTGTTCCAGAACGCCACACTACCCCGCCTGATGTGTACATGTATTTCATTGCTAATACTGATTTCTTGACATCGTTAACTGGTGCCCATATTCTCAATATAGTGAGTAGTACATTATCAGTTGGACGTAACAGCGCTCGCCGAATCTGTACTCGACCGTACCCCCTTTCAATCATGTCTGTGTGCAGTCGGATATCGGGTTGGAATCTTACTTGAACACATACTCGTTATCCTCTGGTGTATGACAGCACACACGCAGAAATGCAAGCGAAACAGAGGAGATTGGACAAACGGGGTTGCAGAGCTGTGCACAGATCTTAGCATAGTCAATTAACTTGATAAATTTTGGGGGCGCTTTAATGACACGATATTAGGACAAAGATGCCCTCTTCGTCGACCTCCCCTGGAGAGGCCATTCCAGTCAATAAACACTGAGTGGAGCAGTTTACCGACCTAAAATCCACTGATTTAGAAGTGAGGGTTACCTGGGGTTTCCTTCACGACGGTGGGAGAAGTCTTCGCTTTTCAATGGATAGCTGCACCACCCACCGATGCTGAGCGACCTCCAGCCAGTAAGGTGCTCTCGTCCATTTTCCAGCTGGGTTCATTTGACCAAGTGTCTATTCCGAACGACAGACGAACCGACAGTGCGTCGGCGAAAACATTGAAACCGGAAGACCTTAAGTAACAGGCAGCGTCCCAGCGTTTTTATTTGCGCTTCACTCCCTTGTGGCGCAGACAGTCAAAAGCCTCGGTCACGGTTCGTTGACTACCGCGGCATATGCCGTGCCGTACTGCCTCAGGCACCCATTCGGAAATCCAAGGCTGTGCTAACTTCCAGCACTCCTCTTGGTTCAGAGGAGTCATTGAAATCCTGGTAGGTTACCCAAAGCCTGAAAACCGCAGTGCATTAGGAGCCGGTGTTCAGATCGTCACATCATGGTGGGCGGGGTCAAACGTCCAAAGTGCCCAGTGTACCTCGATATGTAAGCAAGTAGGTGACTTACCAGAACCAAGAGGGTGTAAACGCGGTTCGCAAGCCTCTTCTTCTTGGTTGGCTTTGAATCAGGGCTCTTCGAAAACTCCCTCTAGGTGAACTCCCAGTGATTCACACCGGCCTCGTTCTAGCTCTGTTCTCTCACCGATGGGGGAAAAGCCACCAAATTAGGGCTTCCTCAGCAGAGACCACTTGACGCACTTCGTCGCAATGGAGTTTTTCGCAACCTGGGAGACAGTCATGGATGGCCATTGATGATCTCATTTGCTTGAATGTGCTAGTTATAGTTCTTCGGGGCCTGTATGATAATGGGGGCAACTGTATTGTATTTAAGTTTTGAAAACACCGAATAAAACCACGCGGTCACATTGACCGCCTCACGCGGAGAGAGAAATAAATTCTCAGCGATCAGAGAAATATCAGTCCAAGGTCAAGGCGCAGTTCACTTATGTTGAATGCCCTCTTTCTCAGTACACTTGCACTGAAAGAGGCACGGAGAGGGAGGGGAGAGACCGGCGAATTCAGATCAATGTTTAATCGAGGTAGAATGTGTCGAGATTGCGGGGCACAAAGTGATGTGATGATCTGGTTGACGGAAATAGGGGACACTCTAATGAAAATCGTTAAGCCTCGTCCTAAGACCCTTGATTGTTTAAGTGAATGTGTGAAACAACAATAAAGTAACCTGAAGGTGATGCGTATACAAAGTAACTGCGGAACAGTCTGGGCTGTCGAATTTGCAATGATAAGTGCTACGATTTACCAGCACCAACGTGAATGTGAGTTGAACAGCGAACATTGTTAAGCATAGTGCGTGATACCATGATGTTTGAACAAAGTTCATCATAGACACAAATGTTGGTTATCACTTTGGGTTCGGTAGGAGCAAAAGGACATGAAAAGCCATGTGAACATTCAACCTATTTGCTAGGATTCAAACTGGATTTGGAACCTATTCCGGGGAAGAAGAAATGGGTTAGCAGCGCAAAACATTTTGAGGTTTACATGCGGTGAAAATGTTTGTGATAACCGACAAAGAGGCTTGGACAGCTGTTTCATCCTGTTTGGGGGCTCGTCAGCAGTGCGTACTTTTTGCGTGTCCCTGTCAGGACTCGAACCGGGAACTTTCGGGTTGGAGTTTCAAATCCTTGAGCTACACGGTCAATGTACCGGTAGAAAAAAAATACACGGAATATCACGAATGCATGTGGACACCAAGTATGGTAATACGGCTCGATAAATTAGCTAACAATTGCTTTGGGCATTTATGAACGTTCCCAGTTTTTCAACAACGTTAGCCGAGGAGTGTAGTTGAACACTCAGAAATAGGGAGAGAAAACACACCAACTAACAATTTAAGAGTCATTCAAAGACTAAGTGATTCATTGAATAAGGATGTGCCATTGCTTGTAGGCAAATTGTTGCTAGAAGTTCGCCATTGTTGCGATCCGGTGAACGAACGACGTGTTGTGTGGAACGAAATAAGGCTTTATGATGGCCAATTGCAGATCTCTTCTCCCGGATTGTCTTCATTGATCGCTCGGGGGAATTCTCTCTCTGTTCGGTTAATCACCTCTGTCCGCTCATAAAGTTCGTTGTTTTTTGTGCGTGTGGCGTCCATACTGCAAAGATGATCCCGTACACATTCGTGTTCCGAGTGCAGGTATTCGTGTTCGGAATATGATGTTTCAATTCACTCGGACAGTTTGTTTGGCGCGTTTTTCTAATACGAGACCAACCTGACTGCAACTGGTCTTTTGATGGTGTGGTTTTTTTGAAGGTGATCGTGCTGCAGTAAATTTTCTTAGAAAAGCAAACTCACTAGCGCGTGGGTGTTTGGGTCTAAGTCAATAAAAGGCAACTGTGGGATGCATTCAAAATGTATCGTCAACTAGTTCAACTGTTGCGGTTGTTATTTGAAGATACGCAGTACACGACGAGTACGAGGTGCAGATGACCGGGCAAGGAAAACGTGAACTGCATTGTGAATATCCTTCAGTGAAAATAACTCACAGAAGCAAACATCAAATATCAAGCAAATATCAATATCAATGTATACTCGGAATATAGTAAAGATGGAACTCAGTCGATGTCACACTGAATGTGGGCGATGATTTTCTACGACGAGAAATGTGATTTAAAGCAGCAGTATCGACTGTAAAGCGTTGATCGTTTACGAGCTGCCTTTGGTGATAACGGACCTTCACCAAGCACTGGTAGAGTGGTTTGCAGAATTGAAGCGTGGCAGGCGGTCCTTGAATGACGAGAGACGGTGTGGTCGACACATGGAGATTACCAAAGCGGACAGCATTCCAGCTGTGCAAGCAATGATGGTTGAGGATTCGCGAGTGACAGTGCCACAGCTGGCGAAAGCCATCGGGATCAATCCGCACCATCCTACAAGTGAATGTCATCCACAGAAAGGTTTGTGCACTCTGGGTACCTGTATCAGCTCGGTGAGGAACAGAAGATAATTCGGGTGAATCGGTGCCGCACCGTACATGCCAGTTTTGCTGATGGACATTTCAATGTGGTTTGGGGGGTCATCAGTGGTGGTGAGATCTGAGCGTGGAAATTTTCGATCCGGAGACCAAGCAACGATCGACTCAGAGGAAGCCCTTTGGTGTTTGGCCGCCTCATAAATTCCGACGCAAGCGCAGTGTTGCAAAGTAGGTTGTGTCTATGTTCATGGCCAAAACCGGTCATGTGGTTATTGTACCGCTCGTGCAGCAAAGCTCAATCACCTGAGACTGGTACGCCACCCACTGTCTATCGAAAATGCTGGAAGCNCACCATGACAACGCACCTGCGCACAGGTCCTATATTGCCGGCCACTTTCTGCCCAGATATCGCATCCAGGAGGTTGGTCACCCGTCCTAAAGTCCAGATCTGGCTCCGTGTGAGCGTTTTGTCTTCCCAAAAGTTAAGCACATGACTCGCGGAATCCCATACGAGTCATCAACAGCGGCAGCTGTGGACGNGGGTTACTCGTATCCGCATGATCGAGCTGTTTGACCACATTGCTTGAGCGCATGGAACTGCATGAACGCTGGTAGAGAATACTTCGGGAATAAAACATTTTGTGCATTCGGCAACTTTTTACTCACCTCCCTCGCCCCGATCCGATCTTTTGCGATTCATTGCGTATTCGTGCAACGATCAATACCACACGATCATAACCGCTGGGAGTAGGTGGATGGGTGGGTGCTTGAAATGTACACGATACGAAAGGCGC